AAACAACAAAACAATTGCCCCATACTGTGCTAGAAGGTGAGCCCCCCTAGGTTGGAAGGCATTCAAAATATAGTGTCTGCAACAATGGACTCATCTACCAATGATTGTGAAGATGCTGCCACACTGGGCAATAGTTTGTTCTGCACATGAAGTTGTCAGTTTGCTTTGCCTTTTGCCTGTCTTTTACTTGTAATACACTTTGATGAATGCATGGGATTTGCCTCTAAATCTCTCCAGATCTTCACTGCCTCCCATAAAACATGACAAGGCACACCTCCACAGGTGGCACCTGGCTGCATTCCCAGGGCCCTGCCATGCCCAAAGCTTGATGAAAACATAAATGTCCTCACCATTTTTTCAGGCCATTGCTAAATGTCTCCTCCAGAACACTTATATTTAGAACCATGTCCAGGGACCCAGCCTTCTAAGCCTCCTGCCCTGCTTTAAGGAGCTCTGGTGATTCTGTGAGAGAAACAGTAGATTGCTAACTGCAAGGTTGGTGGTTCAAACTCACGAGCTGCTCCATGGGAGAAAGATGAAGCTGTCTGCTTCCAGAAAGATTTACAGTCTTAGAAAAGGTCAGAACCGACTCAATCGTAGTTAAGTTTGGTTTTTTGAATTGCTCTGCTTTATTTTTCTCCATAGTATACTACTATCTAATATAGTATATAGTTTTACTTTTTAATTACTTATCACTCCCCATGAGAATGTAAGGGACTCCTGGTGTGGAGCTGTAGGATCAATACTGGACTGTGAACCACAAAGTCGGCAGTTCAAACCCACTAGCTGCTCCTTGGAAACCCTATACAGGCACTTGAAACACCATCACCATCAGAATGGAAGTTTCATGAGAGCAGAGAGCTTTGTACCTAAATTATTAGCCTCAATACAAGTTCAATGAACTAGTCTATGGAAAATTTTGACATACTCCTGGTGAGATGCTGTAGGATAAGTAATGGACTATTAACCGCAAGGTCAGTGGTTCAAACCCACCAGCCGTTCTTTGGAAACCCCATATAAGGTGTCACTATGAGTCAGAACTGACTCGACGGCACTAAACAAACATCATACTATAGGAGCACTGGTGGTGCAGTGGGTTAAGTATTAGGTTGCTAACAGAAAAGATTGGCAGTCTGACCTCACCAGCTACTACATGGGAGAAAGATGAGGCAGTTAACTTCCATAAACATTTACAGCTTCATAAACCCCAGGGATTACTTCTACTTTTTTCTGTGGGGGGCACTCTGAGTCACAATCGAGTTAACGGCAGTGAGGATGATATTACATTTTAATGATGTAAAAAGATTATTTTAAGTTGAAGTACACATTGATTATTGGTTTTCAAGGAGACTGAGTCATCTGAGTTTTCATAAATTTATTTTTGGCTTTCTTCTCCTGAGAGGACAAGCTTTGACAAGCTTTGAGAGGACAAGGAAAGTTTATGAGGCATCTTAGACAAACAAGTCTATACAAAGTATACTTTGTGTAAAGAGTACATCTGATTTGTATTTCTCTTTAAATTCATCGATTTTAACAATGAATGAAAAATAACTCTCCAGGCAAAATGACTTTGGGGTTTCATCAAACATAAAATGTTTTGAAAACTAGTTCAAGATGTTTGTAAAACAATAAAATCACTACAGCAGGAAATATTAATCACACATGCCTGGAAGTATATTTCCTGTGATTTAATTATAAAATTACTTCTAAAAGGGTCAATTCCTTCTGGAAACTTTGTCTTTTTTTAATTCACTCTCAGTTCCTTTAGCCATCAGGGACCATGTGTGGCTCAGCCACAACCAAGACCTCATTCCTAGTTGACTATTGTTTGTTTTGGTGCTATTTCAATTTCTTTTACCCTGAAATGTCCTGTAATCAGCCTCCTTTCTCTGACTGCATCTTCTTTTCCATTTCTGGGCTGCATGGTTAATGTCATTACTGAGATGGTCTCATTTATGGGATGGCTTCAACCCTTGGAAGCACAGAGTTCTAGTCAGAGTAGCTAAAGAAAAAAAGTGGGTCAGGAGGTAGCTTGTTCTTTGGGTAGTCTCTACGACAGTTATTGATATTTTTTATTTTTCACATACAATGAAAAGGAGGTACTGTCAAAGACAGAGAAACATCTTTATAACTAGGAACAGAAAAGGCTTTCTAAAAAGTAGGATCAAAAAAGCACTACCAATTAGAGAAAAGGTTGATAAAGTTGTTGTTGTTGTTAGGTACCATCCAGTCAGTTCCAACTCATGATGACCCTACGCACAATAAAACCAGACACTGCCTGGTCCTGTGCCATCCTCACAATTGTTATGTTTGAGCCCACTGCTGCTGCCGCTATGTCAAGCTGTCTCCTTGAGGGTCTTCCTCTTTTTCGCTGACTCTTCACTTTACCAAGCATGATGCCCTTCACCAGGTACTGGCCCCTTCTAGTAACATGTGCAAAGTACGAGAGACGATGTCTCGCCATCCTGGCTTCCTGGCAAGTCTAGCTGTACTTGCAAAACAAATTTGTTCTTCTGGCAGTCCGTGGTACTTCTAATAGTCTTCTCCAACACCATAATTCAAATGCAGTCATTGTTCTACAGACCTGTTTATTCATTGTTCAACTTTCACATGCATATGAGGCACCTGAAAATACCATGGCTTGGGTCAGACTCACCTTAGTCTTCAAACCAATAACATCTTTGCTCTTGAACACTTTAAAGAGGTCTTGTGTTGCAAATGCGCCTAATACAATACAGTATTTTGAGTGTCTGCCAGCCTGAGGGGCTCATCTTTCAGCGTTTCTCACAACTTTCAGAACCAGTCTGCCTCTGTCTTCCCACTCTTTCTTAGTCTGGAAGCTCTGTTGAAACCTAACCAGCATAGATGACCCTATTTAAAATACCAATAGCATTGCTTCCAGAATCACAGCAACATACAAGCCACCACAGTAAAACAAACTGGCAGTTACGTGGTGGGTTGATAAATTAGACTTAATTCAAATTACACACTTTCTCCATTAGAAGACTGACAATTCAAATTACAATGGAAGAAGATGTGTGTAATACATCTATTTGACAAAGGATTTATGTCCAGAATATGTGTGTGGGGGGGCCTTCAAAAAGTTCATGGAAAATTTTCACTATCTTTTAGTTCTATTTGCCCATGAACTTTCTGAAGCCCCCTCGTATGAAAAAAATAAAGGGAAAAAAAAGTTCAAATTTAAAAATGTGCAGAAGTCCTCAGTAGGCACATCCCAAACACCTATCTAAACAGCCAATCAGCAAATTAAAAGGTGCTCAACCTCATTAGTCAACGGGAAAAGACAAACCAAACTCACAATGAGATACCACAATACAACCAAAATGTTCACATACCAAGTGTAGATGGGAATGTAAAGAAATAGAGCTCGTAAATTCCTGGTGAGATATAAATTACCCAATTACTGTGGATATCTGTTTGGCATGATTTACTGTAATTGAATATATGCAAACCCTATTGCCCAATAATCCCATTCCTAGGCACGTATCCAGCAAGCATGAGCACATATGTTTTCCAAGAGATACATACAAGAACATAATAGGACTACGTGTAATAGACCCAACCTAGAAAGAATTCAAATGTCCATCATTAACAGAAAGGATAAATAATTTTATAATCATACAATGAAGTCACTCAATGAGGAAGAAAATGAACAAACTATAGCTAGATGCAATGGCACAGACACATCTCACTATTTGTTAAGTGCCGTCGAGTCGGTTCCGACCCATACCAACCCTGTATAAGATTTTCAAGGAGCAGCTGCTGAGCTTGAACCGCCGACTTTGCAGTTCAAACGAGTTTGCAGTCCAACTCATTAGCTCACAGCTCCACACTTTACTAACTTAATACTATGGAAAAGGCCAGATGCAAATATTACATAGCTTTAAAATTCCATTTATGGAGTCCTGGTGTGGCATAGTAGAATAAGCACTGGACTGCTAACCATAAGGTTAGCAGTTCAAACCCATCAGCCACCCTCGGAAACCTTATACAGAGACACCATGAATCACATCCAACTCAATGGCATTTAACAACACAAAAAAATTTCATTTATACAAAGTTTGTATAAGACTTCAAGGCAAGACTAGATCATATTTAGGGATGTATGTTGTTGTTGTTGTTAAGTGCCGTCGAGTCGGTTCCGACCCATAGCGACCCTGTATAAGTTTATAAAAATGACATGGAAAGCAAAGAAGTGAGGATGATCATGATCTTTGGAACAGTAAAGGGTTAGGATTGGAAAGGGGCCCATGAAAAGATTGGTCAGATTGGTAATGCTGTTTCTGGAGCTCTGTAGTTACTGAATGGGTTTTTGCTTTTGCTTCATAACAATTCATGAAGCTATAGTTTACATTTCATGCACTTTTATCTTTCTGTATGCTGTTTCACAATAAAAAAAACTTAAACATATATCAGGTATTACTTCCCTATTTAATCTTCACACAAAACAAATACTGTCCCAGTATTCAACTGAAACCCCGAAGCTAAATGCAAACAACTCTGAAAGAAACAGAAAGACCATTTTTGGAAAAGTTTTCGAGGCCAACCTACGTGGGACCAGTGCATAACTTGGATACAGGAACTCTTAATTAGGAGGATGATTTAGCAAAACATTGTCTCCTTTGGTTGAAGCCTATTGGATCTACTGCTTGGGAGCTGATGTTTCTTTTGGGCAAAGAAAAAGATAGTCCTCCCCACCCCTTCCCCCACCCCTTCCCCCAGTGACATAGCTCTGTTTAGTACATGACTTATTGAATGGAGTGCAGTCTAGATTGTCATTCCACTTGTCTCTGGTCTGGGTGCTTTTGGACAATGCACAAATTGAAACCCTTAGATGGCAGCCATGTCTAGGAGACTAGAAAGACTACAACTACACATGCACTGGCCCATCCTAGCATGTGCACACATGCACGCATGCATACTGGCATCACACAACTGCTGTTCACAATTGTGAGGAAGTTGGCCAAGATTTCCCTTACCGCATAACCTTCTGTCTTCTTCTGGCACCACTTCAGTAGAGCATTGCGCTTGGAGCCACCATATTCCCGGGCCAAGGCAGTCAGAGGGTCTCTTCTTTCCACACTAGTTAAAAAGAACAGAAGAGAGAAGATGCTAACTTTTAGAACATTAAATCACACAAGAAATCACTAGATTAGAAAAGCCAAAGCCTCAGTTTATCCACTGATATGCTAAAGAAACAACACATTAGTTGCATTTTTACATATACAATTCAGTGCTGAAAATTACATTTATCATGTTCTTCAGCCAACACCTTTATCCAATTCTACATTTTCTATCACTTTTGACAGAAAAATCAGTAACTAAGCAATAACTGCCCCCTTTCCCTAATAAATTTTTGTCTCTATGTGCTTGTTTATTCCAGATACCTCATACAGACGGGACTATACAATATTTTTTCTTTTGTGACTGATTTTAGTATAATGTTGTTAGGCTCATCCATGTTGCAGCATGAATTAAAACTTCATTTCTCTTTATGATTGAGTAGTATGCCAATGAATAATACACTTTCATTATGCCTTATGGTATTAAGGAAAAAATTAATTGCGTTTCATGGCTATCAGAAGTCTGGCGAGACATTCTGGTGGTGTTGTTAAGTCTATCTGTCACTCATTTATCTAGCCATACATTCATTTATTTACAATATTATTTGAATTACAGATATTCTTATAAATAGATGAATTGACAGAAGAGCCAAAACATGAGGCTCAAATACACTAAAGAACATGAAGACAGCACAGGACTGCATAGTAATATTTCATTCAGCTCTACATAGGTTGTTATGAGTCAGAGCCAATTCAATGGCAACTGTCAGCACCATACAAAAACAGTCCATATGTTTCAAGGCTATACCTAGATCAAAACAACTGAATACAGGTTGGAAGGGCTTATTAAAAACACTAGAGTGGGTGGCTGTGGGGAAGTGACAGGAATGGGGAAAATCAGTAAAATGAAATGACTCCAAAGAAAGACTTTCCATACACTGAACGGGATAACCATCTTCTCTAGTTCATGGCACATTAACTCGGTTCTGAGTACCTGATTTAGCCAAAAAAAGGAAACTTGAGCATTTTAAGAACAAGTACTTCAGTGCCACAACCTCGATTTTCAAAAGACATCTATGCTAGTTTTTATACTAGCTAACATTTTTCAAATAGTAAGAAGAGATTTAAGATCACACAATCCCAAGTTTCTTCCTTCATGCTGCTGTTCGGTGCCATAGAACCAATTTTGACTTCTATAGTAATTCCATATGACAGAATAGAACTGCCCCATAGGATTTTCTTGGCTGTAATATTTATAGAAGTAGACTGCTGTATCTTTCTCCTTTGGGGCCTCTTGGTGGGTTTGAACTAGCAACCTGTAGGTTAGCAATCATGTGCTTACTTAAGCATTTGCACTACCAGGGTTCCTTTCTTCCAGTATGGTAGTGATAGTGGTTGTGTGCCACCAAGTCAGTTCTGACTCAGAGTGACCCTGTACAGGGTTTCTGAGGCTGCAAATCTTTATAGGAGCACAAAATCTCATCTTTCTCCTGCAGAGCAACTGGTAGTTTCGAACTGCTGACGTACGGTTAGCAGCCCAGCTCATAACCCTACTAAAGGCTCCTTTTGTTGTTGTGAAGTGCCATCGAATTGGTTCTGACCCATAGCAACCCTGTAGAGGATTTCCAAGGAGCGACTGGTGAGCTTAAACAGCCAACCTTGCAGTTCAAACTGACTTTGCAGTCTAGCGCATTAACCCACAGCGCCACGCCAGGACTCCTTCTTCCAGTCTATGTACCATTAAATCATAATTACATTTCTGTAGCATTTTTGTACACTATTGTATTTTTTTTTTAAGGAGCACTGGTAGTGTAGTGGTTATGAATCGGGCTGCGAGCTGCAAGGTCAGCAGTTGGAAACTACCAGCTGTTCCGCGGGAGAAAGATGAGGCTTTCTGCTCCCGTAAAGATTTACAGCCTCGGAAACCCTGTACAGAGTCGCTATGAGTCGGAACCGACACCACAGCACACCACCACCATGATTCTATTTTTTAGCCCTGTGTGCAGGAATGCAGGAATAAAAATGGACAGCTTAAACATGTAGAATGTGAGAGGTAGATCTCTACAGTACGAACTCTGGAAGACAATATTTTCAGAGTAATGGGATTTATTCCTAGATGAATATCATTACGGTACACACATAAGAATGTTCTTTTTTTCTTAAATGGCAAAAAAACCCTGGTGTTATGAATCCAATTCAAATAGTTCGTGTTCCCTCAAAATATGTGTTTGAATCTTAACCCTGACATACATGTCCCTGTAATCCTGTTCAGGAATAGGTTTTTTTTCACAATGCTAATTAACCCTATTAGTGTAGAGTTTGTACTCGACCTAATCACTGAGCAATCAAAAGAGCAGATTAGCAGATAAGACAGGATCAAGCGCAAATGGGGGGAGAGAATACCACCTGAACATCTCCAAGGAACCCAGGAAAGCCCAGGCTAAAGAGCCTGAGGAGACAACGAGTGATCTCCCTCCAGAGCCAACAGAGAGCCTTTCACTGTAACCTGTGACCAGATTCAGCCTTCTGGCCTCCTGATGCTTTGGCGGCACCAATGGGCTCAGGCGTAACCACAATTGTCTGGATGGCGCAGGACTAGGCAGTGTCTCATTCTGTTGTGCATGGGGACACTAGGAGTCTGAACTGACTTAATGGAACCTAATACCAACAGCAGAGTTGATGTGACATTGTCGGTTAATGTGCCAGACTGCAAAGTCGGCGGTTCAAGCTCACCAGCTGCTCCTTGGAAACCATATACAGGGTTGCTATGGGTCAGAAATGACTCGACGGCACTTAACATCAACACCCACAGCAGCCTCCTGAACTGTGAGCAAACACATTTCTGCTCTTGAAAGCCACCCACTTGTGGTATTTCTTTTATAACCAACCTCAAGGTCAGCAGCTGGAAACTACCAGCGGCTCCACAGAAGAACGATGAGGCATTCTGCTGCTGTAAAGATTTACAGCCTCGGAAACCCTGTGCAGGGTCACTATGAGTCGGAACCGACTCCACGGCACTTAACAACAACAACAAGGATTCTAAGGAGCCCTAGTAGCGTAGTGGGTTACCAGTTGGGCTGCAAACCACAAAGTCAGCAGTTCAAATCTACCAGCCACTCCGCGGGAGAAAGATGAGGTTTTCTGCTCCCGTAAAGATTTACAGCCTCGGAAACCCTGTGTAGGGTCGCTGTGAGGTGGAACTGACTTGACGGCACACTGCCACTACAACCACCAGAAATCTAAGGCACTTGGAAACAATAATATACAAGGAAATGAATAAACTGTGGTACATTCACATTATGAAATACCAGTAAAAATCAATGAATTACAGATATACACAACAACGAAGGAGTATCAGGAATACAATTTCAAATTTAAAATAGTGAACAACAACAAAACAAAACACACACTACGTTTCTAGGAATACAAAATTTCAAAGCATGTAATCTAAACAACATAGTGCTCGTATTATTTGTGGATGCAAACATACGTGGTAAAAGTGTAAATATGATTGCAATCTTTGCAATGAAATAAAGTGTGTGATTTGGTGGATGTAAAACTGATGATCTGCTCTGTAAACCTTCATTCAATTCACAATAAAAAGTTAAAAACAAACAAACCCCACACACCTGTAAAGGAAAGAAAACAAAGTTCAGGATGGTGTCAAGAAGGGAGGTCATGTGATTGGAGAAGGGCTGATAAGACATTTCAAAGGTAAATAATGATCTTTCTTAAAATGGAGAGATGGATATCCAGGTGAGTCTCCATCATGTTGCTATTTTTTCACACTGTATTTTATTATTACTTTGTTAAGGAGCCCTGATGGCATAATAAGCTAAATGTTGGACTACTAACCAAAAGGTCAGTGGTTCAAACCCACCAGCTGCTCCACAAGAAAACGATAAAGCAGTCTGCTTCTGTAAGGCCTCAGTCTCAGAACCCCCACAGCACAGTTCTACTCTGCCCTAGAGGGCTGTTATGTGTCAAAATAAACGGTTTTGTACCCGTCCAATACTGAGTAAAAACATTTTCAAATTATTTTTTTAAAAGAGAAATAGGACCATTCTAGACCTCAGCAGTATGAATTTAGGTAGAAAAGATTTAAAGATGATCATTTCATACTTGAATTGAAATTTTTGTTATATAGTTACTGCCAGATGCAAAGAAAAACAGTCATCAAATAATACAACAACCTATGAGCTTTTGAGGTCAAAGCTGCTATTAACTACGACATTATGGTGGCCTTGCCTGTGCTTACTATATATACTTGGTCTTATTTGATCCTTTAGAGCTGAATTTCAATGCCTGACAAATTAGAGAAGCCTGAAATGAAAAGGAGTTTGGAAAAGAGTTTCTAAATAAATAGATGACAGTCTTCAATAAATTTTTTTAAAAAAATAAGGCTTACTAGAACAATCACAATACTAGTAATAAGGATAAGACTTTCCAAAGTAAGATGTTTCTATTATCATTGCTTCATTTCAATGACATGAACATAAAAAATTTAAAAAAAGTCATATATACACACACACACACACACACACATATATACATACATATATACATATATACATATATATATACATACATATATATATACATATACATACATATATATTTATTAGGTAGAAAGATGAGGCTTTCTGCTCCCATAAAAATTTACAGCCTCAGAAACCCTGTACAGGGTCACTGTGAGTCGGAACTGACTCCACGGCACATAACAACAACAACAATATATATAGATAGCCTTTTAAAATGCATTTCTGGCATGCAGAAAATAGCCATTTCTTAATAGCACCAATTTTGATACCTAAAACTTTTCGATTACTTAAATCTCTTGTACATCAATAGGATTGATCTGAAGGATCTGGGGGAACTTTAACTTACATCTCTGAAAGGTCTACCTTTATCTATTTGGATTCAAATATAGACTACACCCAAAGATACAACAAAAACTGAACTTACTAAGACTTTTTAAAAACCCTTTATCATATTGGCAGTAGCAAATTTTATTAAATA